CTTCGGCTCAGGTCATGATCCCAGGGTCCTGGGATCGAGCCCCACATCGGGCTCCCTGCTCCGCGGGGAGCCTGCTTCTCCCTCTGCCTCTCTCTCTCTCTGTGTCTCTCATGAATAAATAAATAAAATCTTAAAAAAAAAAAAATTTAAAAAAGAGGAGCAAGGAATCTTTTGACAGAGCAATTCTACTTCTATGAATCTGTCCTAAAGAAACACTAGTATATCTGCAAAATGATAGATGTTCAAGATAATTCATTACAACATTGTTCCTAATACACCTGAAAGATCAGAAACATCCCAAATGTCACGTCAACTGACGTGCTATACAGATACTAAAAAGACGCCACCATTTGTGTCCAAAAGGAGAGGAAAAGACAACTAGTTTTGGTTTTTATATACATGTTTTTCTATCTCTGGAAAGATTTTTTTTTTTAAAGGTACCAATAAGAATGATAACCTGTTTAAGGGCTTGGGAACTGAGCAGATGGGAGATAGTGTGTGGAGGGAGGTTTTCTACTGTATATATTTTTAATATTATTTATTGTTTAGACCATAAGGTCTAATATTAAAAATATATACAGTGTATTGCCTCTTCAAAAGGTTAAATGATCTTTTAAAATAGTGAGTAAGCCAAGCAAAAAAAAGAAAAAAAAGGAGTATTACCTGACTCTCCTGGGCTCTTTCGTCCTCTTCCGCCTGAGTATCAGTATTACCTTATATTTAAAAAAAAAAAAAATGGAGGAGGATTCACAACACTTGCCATCTTTTTTCCTGGGTTACTGCAACCAACGGGCCAGTGTCAGACATGTATTTTCATGTGAAATTCCCAAATGGGCCTCTTTGGGAACAGTGCACGGTTTCCTATCGGGCATCTGGAGCCCTGAGGGACGTACACAGACGCTGGCCCTCACCCGCCCATCTTCTCCCTTGGGGGGCTGGCCCACTGGTGCGGAGGATGCCCATCACACCCACCTGGAACCTAAGTAGCAAAGCAAGCGATCACTTGCTCACAAAGGGACCACCTCTGCCCCCCATCATGGTAGTGCGCGTACGTCTCCTATTGCTGCCAACACTCCAGAAGGGGGCATGCCAGGCACGCCCCTGTGTGGAGGACCTGTGTCATGACTAGCCCTTATCTGATTCGGTGGTTGGGAGATCCAAAGGCAGATGGGCCTGGTCAGGGGCAGCACTACAGCCTTCCAAGGACATCTCACTAGCAACAGCTCCTCTGCAGGAAGCGGCGGTGTTGGAAAGAAGCACCATGTGGCCCTCACTTTACCTGAGGAGCTGCTGAGCTGCCTCCTGTTTTCTTTGAGTTGAAGCTCCAAGTTCTTTACCTGGAGTTCAAGCTTCGCCTTATCCGACTCCAGAGACTGAACGACGGAATGCAAGGACTTGGCGGAGGCGCTCTCTCCCCTGAGCACTGTGACCTGAAATGCAGCGGGTTAGCTTAGGCTCGTAGCTTGAACAAAAGCAGGAGTGGCAACAGCCCCCTCAGGTGGTACTCTACCTCATTTCTCAGCTTTTCCAGCTCTGCATCCTTTTCGGTGAGTAAGGCACTAGTAATACTGATGGATTTCTGCAAGGAAGCTTTTTCTTCATCTGCGTCTTTTATTAACTTGGATTCTCTAAAAGACCAAAGAGTTAAAAAAAAAAAAAATTCCAGAAATCAACCGAGAGAGTGGTGAGTGCACAATGGCCCTAGAACGAACAGGCAATTAACTTGAGTTAACGTAAAGAAAAAAGTATTACGGGGAAGTTTTAAAGGGGCTGAGGCTATTATGCTTGCAAAATTTTACTTGAAATTTTACTCACTGTGAGGGAGAACAAGTTTACCTAGGCATAGACATGCAGAATCTGCATATCATTGTATCCATTTGAATTTAAAGAAACAAGTTAATAACTCTGGAAGATGTAGAATTAACAAAACAAAACAACACTGTTACCCCCAAAGAATTCTTTTAAAATCTACCCCCCTCAACTGAATTGTTACTTCTTGAATAAATTATTACCAAGCAATAACAACAATTAAAATACACACATGCAAAGCGGTTATACACGGATGTCATGCAGAGCAGTTTTATGCTGGAGGTATCAATTGGTTCTCACTAATTTCAGTAAACTTTTCGCAACTTCTGAGAATGTGTTTTTGAGATCTCATGGGCCAAAACAGTCGCAAAGGTTATTACTGCTATTCATACTGAAGGAGTGTGACTTTTCATCCACAGAATCTGGAAAGGACTTTACGTCGCTCATAGAGATTAAAGGTAATTACATAAAGGCTGGAACAGAAATGTTAAAATGGATTTCCAGGTGGAGAACGAAAGTACTGGGGGGTGGGGGTGGGAGAGTCTGGAGGGAGGACGTCAGAGCGCTTGGTTTATGTTCTCGGCCTGACTCAGCATTCGGCTGTCAGCAGAGGGAGTGGGACCAGGCCTTAACGAGAGGGAAATATTTATCCTGGACTCAAGGGGTGGAAAAAGGAAGGGGAAGATGAAGGAAGACAGGGAGGGAAGGCAAAGACACAATAGATAGAACCCAGAAGGGCAAGCTACTGTGTGTGTGTGTGTGTGTGTGTGTGTGTGTGTGACTTTTTGTTGTAAAAACTACATGCATTCAAAAGTGCCAAGGTCATGAAAGACAAGGAAAGACTGAGGAACTGTCACAGACTGAATGAAGGAGGCTGTGGAGGCATGACCACTGAATGCAATGTGGTTTCCTAGACTGAATCCCAGAAGAGGAAAAAGACATTAATGGAAAAACTGGGGAAATCTGAATAAAGTCTAGAGTCTAGATAAGCAAACCGAACCAACGTTGCTTTCTCAGTTTTGACAAACATACCAAGGAGTGTATGATGGGCTTATCAGGGGACACAGGGTGAAGGGTACTCCATGGGGACTCTCTGTGCTGCCTCGGCAACTCTCCTGTAAATCTCCATTTTGAAATAAAAAGGTTTTAAAAATTACATGCAGTGTGAAACAAGAGGGAAAGAGTCCTTGTATCACAAAAATATTTTGGGAAAAACACAGACTGGAAAAAAAATGTCCTAGCTAGCCCTCAGGCCATCCAACCCACAACACTGCATTAATGTAGATGATCATCAGCGAGAGTTCAAAACTTCAACAACAAGCAGCCAAATCGCTCCTGGTTCTAGAAGAAGGAACTGTGTGAATGCAGAGCATGTCATGGTTCAGTCTGTTTTAGAACTGACTGGAAGAATTGGAAACTGAGGCCCAGGTTAGAAATGGCAGAATGTATCTCTGGTTAGTGAGACCCAAGATATCCGGCACATGAATTACAGAATTCTCATGATTTATGGTAAATTGAAATTCTACACAAAGATGAAAATATAAGTGTTGTATTTATCTCGTTGTGTGGCTTACACTTATACAGAATAAGTAGTAAGAAAAGAATCTGAGACTTACAGAAATTTCTTGAATTCGACACCCAAGCATGATATGAACACCGGAGAGTGGGTGGGTATTGGTGCTGTTAAATCACTAAGTGAACAACACCTTGCTAGGAAATAGGATCTTGTTTAGGTCAAAACAAAGCAAAGATTTTAATGGAAGGAATGGACAGGTACTTCTTCCACCTGGAAAGTAAATATCTGACGTTATCCGAAGTTATCCAAAAAATCCGGGGCTCAAGTTTCAATTAAACATATTTGGTAGTTTATTCTATTGTAAAAACTATTTCAAGAGCTTTACTTGTTATAAATCCAAGTCAAATTTGAAAAATGTAGTTTTAATGTTTTTATTGAAAAATACCAGGATTTGGGGGTTACTGAACAGAGTTAAGTTCTTCTATAATCAGAACTCTAGATAGCCAAAATCTCATAGGGTCTTTGTGTTAGGGAGGGAGAGAGAGACCACCAGCTGGAAGAAGCAAGAATGTACAGGAACCTTCGTCTGCTTATCGCATACACACAACCCCTAAGAGAGGCTGCTTTCTAAGAAGATGGCAAGCAGAACGCTTCTTGTACAAGTTATCAAAAGACACATGGTTAAGAAAGGGATCTGCCTTGTGATTTATATACCAAATGACAGGACAAATAGCCTTTGGCAGTTCATCTCTGTGGCAGATCTTCATTGCTGGCTTCTTAGGCTATTTCTAAGCCCTAATCCCATTGTGCGAACCAAGAGGGACTAATTTAAACCATTTATGCTAACATTCCTGACATCTGAGTCACAAACCACACTGCCAGGGGGCCTCTGTTACCTTGAAACCATGCTGGCCAGAGTGACTTGTGTTACTGAAAGTATCAAGAAGGGGGGGCGCCTGGGTGGCTCAGTCGGTTCAAGGGCTGCCTTCGGTTTGGGTCATGATCCCAGGGTCCTGGGATGGAGGGTCCTGGGATGGAGCCCCACATCAGGCTCCTTGCTCCGCGGGAAGCCTGCTTCTCCCTCTCCCTGCCGCTCCCTGTGCTTGTGTGCTCTCTCTCACTATCTCTCTCCCTGTGTCCAGTAAATAAATAAAAAATCTTAAAAAAAGAAAGAAAGAAAGAAAGTATCAAGAAGGGAAGATAACATGATATGAAAGAACAGCTATGGGGGCCAGAAATCTTTCCCCCCAGGGGAACGTATTTGCCAGATTCTTTCCTTACTACTTACTTAAGAAATAAATTCTAGTAATGAAGCAAATACCTTAAAGTGTTACTGGGCAAGCTTTAAAAATGCAAGATAACAAGAACCAAATATTAGAAACATGAAAAGAAATGCAGGTACAGTAAGGAGAGCTAAATTTGCGCTGAAGTTCTTTGCTGTATATAGGTATAAAAACGGCGTGCGTGTGTGTGTGTGTGTGTGTGTGTGTGTACTGCTAAGAATATTTTACAAAACAAAAGCAAGACACAGAGGGACAAAGGCAGCCAAAAAATATATACAACAATTTGTTTTACTAAAAATATATGAAATTTATTTATTATAACGTGGATAGACTTTCTTTAGTCTTACCATTAAAGACACACAGATAGAGCAAAGGAAGCAGGAGTAGGGAAGGGAAAAGAGAGGGTGAAATGAGCATTGGTAAGTAGCGCAAGCCCGAGACAGTCAGACAGTCAGCAACCCACAGTGAGCTTAATGAGCTGAAGTAGCACAGGACCTCTTCAGACTTGGTATCTTAGACGGTATCGCCAACCAGCTTCCATTCCTGACATTTATCCTGATTTACACTGAGTGAATTCTGACTCCAAAGAGTCCATGTCTGAGATTTGGGCTCTCAAGTCCCTGCAGTGACATCACAAAGCCTAGAGAAGGGAGGGAAGCCAAACATGTTCCCCAGTCTGCTGTAGGCTTCAGTGGACAGAGGAACCTTCGTTTCTCCACTTCCATCAGGCAGAGCAATTCAAGGCTGGCTCTGCTCTGTCAGCTGTCTTGGAGCCTGTTTTGAAAGACGTCTGCCTAACTTGGAAACCCGTTTCCAAAATAATGATTACATGTTTAAGTTAAGAGAAAAACCTTTACTACATGTTGCTTGCAATTCAATGTTCAGATACCAAAAGACCGTAGCAAATACAGGACAATGCTACCACTGAATGGTAAGTAGTTTGTGCCTACAGGTCAGGAATAAGTTCTGCACTTCAATATAATGACCATTTGAATGACACAATTAGATACTATCTTGACTGTGTATGTTCAATTATCACTTCTCAATTAAACTCTTGACTAAGATCTCAGTTCTTGCATGAATGACTACATTGCAAATACCTTTATGATTTAAGTACTTGCCAGCCTTTTAAATTAGGAGCATATCAAATTCTTTTCAGTACTCCATGCTCAATTTACTTAACTATTACACACACAGACCTACATATGAATCCATTATCAAACTGGCTTTTAGAGAGCATTTAAGGGCCCAAATTATTAGCTGAAATATATTTGCATTCAGATTTTAGACATAACGTTCCATAAGGATTAATTTGACAACAGAACAGTGCTAAATAGGATGAAGCTAGGTTTTTTAAAATTTTCACTTTCAGAAAAAATTACCATCTCTATCTGCATTTATTGATATAAAGAGTAATTTTCAAGAGACAATCTCCTAAACTTATCCAGGACTTAAAATGGGAGCAAAGTTAGTGAAGTAAGAAGTGGCCTTAACAAGCACCCAAACTTGGTCCATCCTTTTAAGCTGTGAAAAGAGTCACAGGCCTGATAACATTTTGAAAGGCATGTAATTTAAAGTCACATGGTAAAGACTAAGGAAGCATAGCAGCTTTACTCTATTAAAAAAAAAAAAAAAAGATTTAAGAGTAACAATAAATAAATGTACAGTGAGAAAAGAGCCAGCATAAAAATCTGAAGCCCTCGGTCTTAGGCCTGCATCTGAGTTCTTGGCCAAGTTGCCTAACATTTTGGGCTTTTGTTTCATGGTTTGTAAATGCAAGCCCCGCCAAATATTTCACTGGGTTGTTCTGAGATTGAGTTTGTGAATTATGAATACAAAGGGATAATGTCAGTACTTGCTGACTTACACCAGCCCATTTTCATATGCTCTCTGACCAGAATGTCACAGGAATAAGCCCTATTAGTTTTTTTCACACACCCCTGGTAACTGCATAGGGAGGTTCTCAAAACAGAGCCTTATCTATGTAAAATCAAATATCCACCCCCCCCATGCGGGGGGGCAGAACTATGGGGGCCTGCACACAGGTGCTGGGGAAGGAATGGCAGACCAGTCACCACAGCTCACGGTTGCCTGGAGAAAAGCTGGCTGGACGGGGAGGGGCGGAGGGGAGGCTGATGAACCGTACGCACATTCTGGTATGAAACTTTACAGAAGAACGAATCTAAGTATTTCTTAATTAAAAAAAGAAAGGAAGAAAGGCACCCCGGGACTGAGGCCGGACGTCCTTTAGAATGTAGCTTGTGGATCCCACTATCTGTGGGTTGACTAAAGCCCTCAGTTCCTAAGCAACTGCCATGTTGGTGGGAGGAAACACTGTCAGAGCAAAACACGCGAGTCAGTGGTAAGGGAAACTTCCTTCTCTCTGACAAGAATGAAATACTTGGCAAGAGCATGGACGATTTCTTGATTAAGATATTCTTAAAGAGTTATTTTTAGTTTCATTAACAAAAAAAAGGTGTGTCCCCACTGCGCTGCCCATCTATCTACTCAGTACCGCACAGGCTGCCGTTCTCAGCAAGAACACGCACCACGTCTACTTGGCGTGCAGCATAAACACAGAATTTCTCTAGACACAAACTGCACATTTTAAAAGTGTAGACAGAGACTGTCAGGATACAGAAGCATCAGGCTTCTAAACGGTTATTTCTCTGGGCCGGTTTATCCTTACTCAAAAGTGCTGGAAGGTTTCCATTTCAATATCATTTGATTATCATGAAAGAGTAACAAATAACAAGGCTCTTTTCTAGAAAAATAGAAACATTCAAATTGATGCTAACACATTATTACTGAAAAGTTAAAATTTTTATATAATGCAATCAGTATTTATACACCGATTAATTACTCTATGTAAAATTACAGCATTTTTAGCTCCTGAAAATGAGGAGGTGACAGCAATACGATGAGACAATCTGATCTTAGAACACTTCTGAAAAAATGCAACTGGAGGAGGCTTAAAAATTAACCTATTCTTTGTCTTGGTAATTAATACTGAAACTTTTGCAAATACATTTTCATCATTTATCAGTTATGAGCACCAAACTATCACAATCCAAGTTTCTGAAAAGAAGGTGGTATGTTTTCTACAGGTCACCATACGCATCGTGTTCTGACATTTTCCTAATTAAACACATACACGCAACAATAAACACAAAAAGAAAGCCTACCTCTTTTTCATTTCTAACAACTGATTATTGAGCACAGATCTCTCCTCTTCTAGCTGGAAAAAAACACACACAAAAAAAAGTTCAGTTCGTTACAGAAGTCCACAGAGAGACCTATTTCTCATTCCACATGTCCCATTCCCAGGCTCCGGGACAGCTAAAGCAATGGGCCTTCCTCACTGGTGATGAAAAAAAGAGTAGTGGTTAGTACATCATGTACAGTTGTTAATTTACAAATCACTTATGACCCGAATGACTCTCCTTCCTCAGAACAGGCTGTATCTTCAACATTCAATAAATGTTTCATTCATTTCTTAAATGAATGAGTGAAAGCCTCACTGTTAACATTCTGGCTCCTTCACCGAAATCACACAGATCAAGTGTCACTAACTCATGGGGAGGCTAGGAACAGGCTGTTTACTCCTCCTGGGCTTCATTTCATGCCTTCCACATTCCAGGAATTGGTTTCTCACCTATAAAACAAGGAAGTTAGAAGAGAATTTCCAGTAGCCCTTTAGTTCTAAAATTCTATTATTCTATGAAGGGTGAAAAACAAAAGATTCAGTTAATTAATCCTGTGAGAGAAGACTCACCCCCACCCCCTGGTCTGTACCACACAGAGTTTATTATATTGAAATACCAATTTCAACTCACACTGCTAATAAAACTAAGGGGTGAGGGGCGCCTGGGTGACTCAGTGGGTTAAGCGTCTGCCTTCAGCTCAGGTCATGATCCCAGGATCCTGGGATGGAGCCCGTGTCCCTGTCCTCGGGCTCCCTGCTCAGTGGGGAGCCTCCTTCTCCCTCTGCTGCTCCCCCTGCTTGTGCTCTCTCCAACCCCCCAAGTAAATAAATAAAAAATCTTAAAAAAAAAAGCCAAAACCTAAGGGGTGAAAACACTCCTTTGTGGGTTTTTGTCCCCCCAAATCAAAGAATAACACCAGACTATGGAATGGCTTCCAACAGCCAGAATTTAAGCTCCTAGCTCACTGTATGTAGCTATAGCCTTATTTCCGATTTTGTATCAGTTATGCATATGCTTTGCTATGAGGTCTTCATACTATTAAAGTTCTTAAATATACATAAACATGTGTTTTGAACATAAAATTATATTTATCACAAAATCTATTGAGATTAAACATTCAGTTTTTTCAGTGTAAACTCTGCTTTCCTAGTCCACTAGAGATGTATGCTTTTGCTGCATGAGTAATTCACAAAAAATATTTAGAAATTTTTAAAGAGTGAAAGGAAGGAAAAAGGGTGGTAGACAAACCTTAAAAACTAAAATAAGAGGGAGAACATCTGGAGAGTGGGATGTGGAGATGAGAGGGGTTTTCTTTTTTTTTCCTTTACGCCCTTTTATACAGTTTATATTTATTTGTTAAACAAGGAAGCTGTTTTATAATTAAAAGTAGGTACTGAGAAGTACCTACAATGAAGATAAATAAAGGCAGATAATTCGCAACAGAGAAAATACAAATTATTAATAAACGTGAAAAATCATTCAACATTTTAAAGAACAAGTATGCAGAGATTTTCCCTCTTTCTTGGAGGGTGCATTGTGCCTGAATTTCCATGGAACAGAAATTTGGAATACTTATGGTATGGATTTCTTTATAAGAGACATTTTTTCCTTCTTCTGCTCCAGGACCCAATCCAGGTTGACAAGTTCATTTACTAGTTACATTTCTTTAATCTAATTCCTCACTGTTTCCTTATTTTTTGTGACCTTGACATTTTTGAGGCACATAAGTGCACACAATGTCAATTTGGATTCATCTGATGTTTCTGTATGAATAGAGTCAGATCACACACTTTTTGGCAGGAACACCACAGAACTAATCCTGTGTTGTCCTCAATAGGGATCAAAGGACAGACAATGTTGTTTTTTGATGAGGGTAACTTTGATCACTTGGTTGAGGAAGTATCTTCCATGTTTCTCCACTGTAAAGGTATTTTTTCTTCTTTGTAATTAATACGTATTTTGTTAAGAGATACTTTGAACGTGTATAAGCATCCTGCTCCTCAGCAAAATGCCAATCCATTTCTTTTAGCACCAAATGATGAGTCTTCCCTAAATAAAATACTACCATCATGGTTACCCAATAGTGATTTTCTAATTCCATCATTTCACCTATTTATTAGTTGTCATTTCGCCATAAGAAAGGGCCTTCGGTTTTCCTCCATTTATTTATTTGTATCTACCTGTTTCCATGATACATCATGGTTTCTAATGTTATTCAATAGGCTATACTCCATAACTATATTTCTTCTGATGTTCAAATTATCTCAGATTTGGCCAGTGGGAGCCCCTTCAACATGATTATGATGTGCTTTTGACTAATCTCCAATATTTTTTTTTTTTTAAAAGATTTTATTTATTTATTTGAGAGAGAGAATGAGAGAGAGAGAGAGAGCAC